GGGCCTGTGGGAGACAGAGATTGATTTTTCATGAATGTATTTCTAAGTGTTTGCCAGTTACAGTACAACCTGCCGAATGAGGTTCAAATTCCCTGCTCTTCACTCTGACCTGACATCTACTTTTACTGCATGGTTATGCACTTGGTTTCAAATTTTATACCTCTGACCCACTTTCTGCCCTGTTAGAGTGACTCAGGACATTTTCATGCCCAAGGTTTTCGCAGCCAAACCTTGAAAAATAACAAAAATAACAGTAATAACAAAAATCTACACCATGACATTATAGCTGAAAATCTGTCTTCTTGGATGTCTAATAAGTATCTATAACACAATTAATTCCAATCTCACTACCTCACTTAGATGTCTAATAAGTATCTATAACACAATTGATTCCAATCTCACTCCCTTACTCGAATCCTACAATTTGTATTATTTTTCTCCACAAACTTTCCTGTCTCCATAAAGGACAAAAGTATCACTGTATCACTGAACACAATGGCAAGGATATTTTTTTTATTCTCCTCCACCGTACATCACCCCATCCCACACCATTCCCCCCATCACTCAGTTCATGTCCATGGGTTGTACAGATAAGTTGTTTGGCTTCTCCATTTCCTGTACTATTCTTAACCTCCCCCCTGTCTATTTTGATACCTACCATTTATGCTGTTTATTCCCTGTATCCTTTTCCCCATTCTTCCCCCACCCTCTGTTTTACTGTTCATAGTTTTTGATTTTCTTTTTCTTAGATAAGTCCTTTTAAAATTTCATATAATAAAGGCTTGGTGATGATGAACTCCTTTCACCTTACCTTGTACAGAAGCACTTTATCTGCCCTTCCATTCTAAATGATAGCTTTGCTGGAGAGAGTAATCTTGGGTGTAGGTCCTTGTCTTTCATGATTTTGAATACTTTTTGCCAGGCCCTTCTTGCCTGCAAGGTTTCTTTTGAGAAATCACCTGATAGCCTTATGGAAACACCTTTGTAGGTAACAGTCTCCTTATCTTTAATTTTGGGTAACTTAATTATGATGTGCCTTGGTGTGTGCTTCCTTGGGTACAGCTTCTTTGGGACTCTCTGAGCTTCCTGGATCTCCTGGAAGCCTACTTCCTTGGCCAGATTGGGGAAGTTCTCCATTATCTTTTCAAATAAGTTTTCAATTTCTTGCTCTTCCTTTTCTCCTTCTGGCACCACTATGATTTGGACGTTGGATCGTTTAAAGTTGTCCCAGAGATTCCTAAGCCTCTCCTCATTTTTTTGAATTCTTGTTTCTTCATTCTGTTCTGGTTGAATGTTTATCTCTTCCTTCTGCTCCCAATCATTGAATTGAGTCTTAGTTTCCATCCCTTCACTGTTGGTTCCCTGTATATTTTTATTTATTTCACTTTGCATAGTTTTCACTTTTTCCTCCATTTTGTGACTGTTCTCAATCAAGTCAGTGAGCATCCTGATTACCAGTGTTTTGAACTGTGCATCTGACAGATTGGTAGATCTGTTCATCACTTAGTTCTATTTTTGGAGCTATGATCTGTCCTTTCATTTGGGCCATGTTTTTTTTTTGTCTTATCATTCCTGTTCTGTTGGAAGAGGCAGAGTCTTAGGTATACTCCAGGGTAGGGTAAACCAGGTCTTTGAATTGTGATCCTGTATGTGCAGGAGAGGTCCAAGAATAAACAGTGGCGCTTGCTCGGCTCTCCGCCAGTTTTCAGTCACTTGCCCCACTGTACACAAGCAAATTGGACCCTTCTAGTGCTGATTCCCAGGTGGGTGGGTTTGTGTACATTCTAGGACCCTGTGGGTCTCTCCAGTGGACTCTCTTGTAAGGCTGGGAGTTCCTTCTGCTGCTGCAACCCCTACAGTTTTCTACAGCTAGAGGTTTTGAGGCCTTCTTTTCCCTCACTGGAACCCTGGGTTACGTGGTCTGTCTCACTCCCCAGCTGTTCTTCTGGTTTATCCGCACACAAATGTGGGACCTCCCGGTCATCCAGCTGCTGCCTTGCCAGCCTGGTCTCCCAGTCACTGCCATGCCGCAACTCTAAACGCTATTTAGTTTCTAGCTGACATGTACAGGGTAATCAGCAAGCTCATGACAAAAATAACCACTTAATCCAAATAATGTGTATAATTTGAACTATTTGGCTCAAATTCCTCATGGACACTCTAATCTTCCAGTGTGTCTAAAGGACGAGTAAAAAAGAAGCTATATTGTAGAATTAATTAGATATTCCCACTAAACTAGGTCCAGTCCTCGCAGATTCTTTTGCTTGTGCTTGCACTGACAGCCCATTGCTTTTTAGGTTAATCAAATCAAATATTTCACTTTTACTCAGGATACTTCCTGTGATTCTCAGAAAGAAATACTCAATATCTTATATTTGACTATTTGAGATACAGATCTTCTAATTATATAGATCTGTAATAGGCCTGGGCTGTCCCTGCCACACATTTACTCTCAACTCTCAAATAGGTGAACTATTTGAAAGAACACTGTTTGGGATTTGTGATCTTGGAATCAAATCCCTGCTCAGTTTGAAGTCCTTGGCTTTCAGTTCCCTCTCTGCTTTTTAAGAGTAATAATAACCATTGTATTCATAAAGCTGAATAATTTATATGAATGCCTAGTTAAGAGCAGGTCCTACAAGTGTGAATTTTCCTTTCTTTTACTACTAGAGAACATAGAACTGATCTTGTTATGTCAGAGCAAAGAGAAACAAGAGGAAAGGAGATTTGGAGCTAAGGTGCAGTGTTCCTTCTCAAAGAATAATTTTTTTTTCACACTAACGTGCCTTTCATGCATACCTATTCAGAACAGACAAAGCATTTCTTGTTTGCAAAATAGCAACACGTGCTTCATCAAACGGTTTCCTGTAGGTGCTGTATGAATTAAGAGGTATCTGAATTGCATATAATGGCATGTAAGTACCCAAAGTGCAAAGAAGATTAGAGACTAGAAGCTCACTGAAGTTCAGAGTGAAGACAGATGATAAATTTGCTAAAGGGAAGAACCCGCTTGAATGTGAAATGACCTGGCCTCTGCAGAGCACTGCCATTTTTATAAACAAGCAAACACGGTACTTTCTAATGATCTACTGAACCTTGTAGAAACATGTCTGATATCATGAGATCAAATACCATATGATCTCACCTACAAGTGGAACCTAATCAACAAAACAAGTGAGGAAAATAGAACCAGAGACATGTACATAAAGAACAAACTGACAGTGACCAGAGAAGGAGGAGGGGAAAAATGAGGGAAAGAAAGGGAAGAGTCAAATCAAGGAACATGTATAAAGGTCCCAAGGACAAGGACAATGTGGGAGAGGATTGGATGTGGGAGTGGGCAGTGGGCAGGGCAGGGGAGAGCAATGTGGGGAAAATGGGGACAACTGCAACTGAACAACAATAAAAAAATAAATAAAGATCTACTATGTCAAATGTTTATTCATTAATATTTTTCAAAAAAATTATTTTTATTATCTCATATTTATTCTTTATAATAGCATTTAAATTCAAGTTATCTTGCCCACCCCCATCCTACACCATGGAAAAAAATAGAATGTCATAATTCTGATTTCAGTTAATTTATATATATATGAATTTAGGAAAGATTATTTATGATTTTGTGTTTTTTCTTCATAAACATGGTATTATATATCATTTATTCAGGTTTTAATTTATGGTATTTATAAAATCTTATACTCTTTTCTTCATGTAGATTTAATATTTTCTTGCAAATTTAATAAAAGATTTTTGTGATTCCTACTCTCTTGCATTTTATTAAATTCTTCATGGAGCATGAAATATAAACAACTCTAAAGCTGCAGATAATTCTGCTCATGGTCTTGGAATAAGGGCAAAAGGAGGACAAGCTATCAGAAAGGAATTGAGTACTATTATTTACTATTTACATCTACAATAAATGCAAAATGTATTTGATAGCTCTAAGCAATAATAACTTGGAATGCTCAATGAACAAAAAATAATCTTTAAAAGCTAATTTTCATCCAACCCCCATTGTGTTTGATGCTGTCAGCTGCTGTGAATGCACAGTTTCCCACCATGACCACGTTACAGCTTCATTCTCAGGGGCAGAGGCAAAGTTTGCTCATGGGACCAGGTTCAGACCTGGATTTGATGTTAACATGGGGGTCATCAGGGCATGTCCTCTCTGGCGTGGCAGATGGGCGACTCACGTGTACCCGGAGGGACACTCAGCTGCTTCTGACAATTTCTCTTCCCCTGATCCAAGATAAGAGGCATAAGATTGCAGAACAACCTCCAAGAGGATTCTTCTTTCAACAAATTGTAGAACTGGATTTTGTTTTTAAATTTTAATTTAAATAAGAAATCTGCTACTTTATGGGAGATAGAATTCTACAAATCTCTACTTTTATTCTAGGAAAAGGAATGTCATCAAGAAATTATTGTCTCATTTTGCATTGTCTGGTAGTCAATCATATTGTCAAATGATAAAAGTGGCTTTATTAAAAATGGAGGACTTTGTTCACATTTATCAAATATATTTGTGTTGGCAGATTTGCATTTTCAGTTGCTGCAGAGTTTCCTCTGTTCAGAAATATTTCCAAACCACTAGAGGAGCAGCCCCAGTATTTCTCAGAACAGAAGGAAGGGCTTTGCCTTGATGCCGTCTCTCAGCAGTTTCACACAATTCAACACCTGGAAGTAAAAAGTCTTAATTCTCTTAATACGTTGCCTGGTAATTTGGATGGGTAGTTGGTTGCCCAGTTCAGCTTGATCTCTTCTTCTTCTTCTTTTTAATTTCCTATCAGTCCTTTTCAATAATTACTGCCTTGATAGAAAACAGCTATCTGGGGAAATTTATCTGAGGAAAACTTATAAACTATCAGATACCACAAAACCTATGTTTAAGGGTTTCCACAGGAACCCAGAAGATCAAATGCCCATTTTTTCTTTCTTGCAATGCTGGTCATGTCATGAAACTTAGAAGAATCGTCAGATTTTGAAGGAGTTGTAACCAGTGTGGTCACTCAGGCTGGGTCAAGATATTTGCAGAAGGGACAAAGCTCATAGTAATTCCCCCTGGTAAGTAACTTTTTTCTATGTTTGAAAAACTGGTAGATGTTACTAAATAAAAACAATTTATAATCACCCTCATCTGACTGCCACATTCTCAGCCTCAGTGTATCAACAGCAATTTTTCAGCTAATCGTCACTGTATATGGAAACAAAACTATTTTGTAAATGGTTTCTTTCTTTTTCTGCTTTCCAGCTGATTGAAATTCTATTCTTAGGATACACAGACACACACACACACACAAGATTCATGCTAGAAATTAAAATATGTTGAATACCATGTCTGTAAACCATGATATAAATTATGGGTTTAAGGTATTTTTCTTATAGAGGGTCTTTTCATTGAGATACACTTTTATTAATGATATTTTGAGATAAAATACAGTGCTTTGTTCTCTCAGTAATCTGATAAATTATGGATTTTTATCTCATCCCTAACATACAGGCAAAAACTTAATACTTACTGTGAATGAGTGAAGAACATCACAATTTATGCTATCACTAGTCTTGTTATACTGCCTATAGAGATGGACCAGTTTAATTGAATTATTAGCCTAATAAGTCATTTCAGCTCCAAAATTTAGGGAGTCTCCATCGTTTTATATCCTCATTTGTTCATTCGTTGTGTCAGCAAACATTCATAGAAGACAGTTTCTGTGCTGAATGCTGGAGATAAAAGGATGAAAAAGACATAGTCCCAACACTCAAAAAGCTTGTCAACTAGTAGATAAGATTCTGGCTTGATTGGGCCCCATACACTTTTGTTTGTGAATGCCAAAGGTGCACAAGGTCTTGGATTTGAGAGTTGTTTCTTCTCTTAATTCACCTAAGAGTTATTGCTTATAAAATACATATATTTTGTCTTTTGGAAGAATTTGATAAATTGTCCCTGACTGTCCCATTAAAGAGAATGATATTAGCTAGAATTTACTGAGGGCCAGACACCACATCAAATAGTTTTATTGCCTTATCTAATCCCTCTGTAGCCCTGGGCAGGGGATCCTATTAGTCCCATTTCATAGATAGGAAAACTGAGGCTTAGATTAGTTTGGTTATTTGCCTCAAGTCACATGACAAGTTACTATGGCAAAGTTTAGGGTTCAGTAGAGACTTGTCTATTCCTAAGTGCATGATCTGGACAATTATGTGATATTGGAAACATTAGATTATGTTATTTTTTTCAGAATATTTACTCTTCCTTAGTCTGACCACTTAAATGGACTCTTTGATTACTTATTTAGTACTTGTTCATTTTTAAATTACCACTCTTGAGTGAAAACAATGCTTCTGCTTCTAAACTTGCCACCCCTCTCTCCACCCAAAAAGATTAAGGAAGCCATGTTGAATGTGTATTTATTAAATACTTCCAATATTATTTGTAGGATATTTCTATAAAATGACAATATCTTTTGACATCATTGTATTCAATTTTGTTTCTATATTGGCATCAAATTTCCTAGAAATATTATAGCTAGTGAAAGAACTAAATCGGTTATCCTAAACAGCATTACTAACTAAATTGCATAACTCAGCGCTGCCTTTCCACACCTTATGGGATAGCTGCAGAAAAACCAAACTGAACAGGAGCCTCTGATAAGCAGCACAGCAAGTATAGTAAATGCCCTGGGCAAGAAGTCCAAAGGAGCAGTCTTTCAGCAGAAAATAGCTTAAGAGATTATCATTAAGAATTTATACCCTGTAACAACTCTTTTATCTATCAGTTGGAATTAAATTATAGAATAAAATTACTTTAGGATTAATCCATGTTAAATTTCTTTATTGTCTTTTACCAGTGCTAGCTCTAAAGTTGGTATTAACTGAGTTTTTAAAATAAATTTTAAAAATTAATTTATTTTAGTTTGATGTCTTATATAAGTATTATTATTTGATCAAAGCAGTGTATAAGAAGAGTATCCTTTACTATGAGAGGTCACATAAGAACTGAAATATAAGGTAACCCTTGTTTTGTAAGGGATAATTTTGGGATAGAGAGCCTCACCTTATGTTCTGCCATATTCAATCTGCTTGTTCTTTTTCTTTTAAATAAAACCTTTTTATTTTATTTTTTAATTGACATTTATATTTATTTCTATAAATACAGAGTGATTTTACAATGATACCATCAATTATAATCCAGTAACACAATATTCATTTCTAGTATTTTTACTTTTTTTTTTTATCATTGTTCTATTACAGTTTTTCCAATTTTTCTCCCATTGCTCTCCTCTACCCGACCCACCACCCCGCTCCCACACTCAATCCCCACCCTGTTATCAATGTCCATGGGTCCTTTATACATGTTCTTTGACTAGACTTTCCCCTTCTTTCTTCCTTTATCCTCCTCTCCTTTCCCCTCTGGTAACTCTCAGTTCGTTTCTTGTTCCCATGCCTCTGCTCCTATTTAGCTCATTTGTTTTTTTGTTCACTAGGTTCCACTTATTGGTGAAATCATATGGTATTTGTCTTTTGCCACCTGGGTTATTTCACTTAGAATAACACCCTCCAGGTCCATCCATGATGTTGCAAAAGGTAGGAGTTCTTTTTTTCCCCCTGCTGTGTAGTGTTCCATTGTGTAAATGTACCATTACTTTTTGATCTACTCATTTACTGATGGGCACTTAGGCTGTTTCCAGCACTTGGCTACTACAAATGCTGCAATGAACATTGGGGTGCATAGGTTCTTTTGAATTGGTGTTTCAAGTTTCTTAGGATATAATCCCAGCAGTGGGATCACAGGATCGAAATGTGGTTCCATTTTTAGTTTTTTAAGGAAATTCCATACTGTTTTCCACAGTGACTGCACCAATTATATTTCCACCCACAGTGCACTAGGGTTCTCTTTTTTCCACATCCTCGACAGCGCTTGTTGCTTGTTGATTTGTTTATTATGTCCATTTTGACCAGTGTGAGGTGTTATCTCATTGTGGTTTTAATTTGCACCTTTGATGTTTGTTGATGGGGGAAAGAGTTATTTGTTTTGGATAACACAAGCGAAGCAACTCTGTATACTGACCATATATAATTTAGGTCTAGCCAATGTTCCCTTTGATTTTCTTGGGAGATCAGACAAGATCCTGTGGTATGGCCATAGGCTCCCTTTGATTTTCTGAACACTAGAAATGCAGGTAGATAGGATAAATGATGGTGCACTTATTAAGTGTGTGAAAGGCGCCATGGTGATGGCTTTGAGAAATACAGACATATTAGAGCAAAGTGGAAGCATTGACAGGGATTTCGCTGCAAACCCAAAGTGCTGAATTCCTTCTCATAAGGGCAAAGTTTGGTCTCATGAGATTAAAAAGTCAGGTTGGAGCACAGAGTGATGACCATCAAATGGCTAATAATTACTATGATCTCTTATTTCCATAGCATTTTTAACTGAATTTCTTTTCAAAGCTTGTTTCATTTTGGTCTGACTAGTAGTGATGTTGAATTGATTTACATTCACACCCTTGTTTTCAGATAAATAAAGCATCAAAAACATTAATTTACTTTATTGACTCAGTCACAGAATTTGCTATGAGCAAAATGAACTGGAGGCAGAATACCAATCTCCTGATTTGCTGACCATCATAGTTTCAGTAGAATTTGAAAAACTCAGAGAAGATAAATTAATCTACAGTTTTTGATACTGGTTGAATCACTGTGGAAATAGGGCAGAAACTCTTTGGTGATGGAACAAAACTTGTCATTACTGGTAAGTACCAGAAGATTGCAATTTTTCAAGATAATAGAGAGAAGGCAAGAAAGACTAAAATTGTAATAGCAGAATATTTAGGTAAAACCATAATGTGATGCATATTAAATATAGAAATCTTAGGCGAGATTGTGAAATAAATCTTAACAGGCATGCATAGACAACATGGTGCATTTATGATAGCTGGATTTGGCTTTTGCTTATACCTGAACTTGTACATAATGCTCATGTATAATGTAACCAATTATCATGGAAGTGTTTGGCCTAAGGACAAAGATTATTACTATAAGGCAGCTTTGTGAGTTGATACATTTCCATTACTGATGGTGTAAGCATCTTGTGAAAGAGCCTGGGCTTTGGAATCAGGATCAAATGGAGCTACAGCTCTACCATTCACTGCACATGGGAACTTGGGCAACTGTTCTCCTTCCTCAGTCTCCTAATTCATAAAATGAGATAAGTATGCATCCAGAGGGGTTGTATGAGATTGACTGAGATGGTGTGAATGAAGCACTTGCACATTGTCTAACATATAGTACCTGCTGAATAGGTGTTCCCACAATTCAAATGTAAAGAAGAATTATTTCCAGTATGAAGAGTTGTTTGTAGCCAATAATATTGAATGAGCAGAAATTCCCCAGAGAATTCATCTGTACTTCTAACTACTCATTAAAAAAGGAGTCTAGAGGTTGTTTTATCACCATTTTTCTCTCACTGGCAAGAAAAATGAAATTAACATGTGTTTTTTTTAATCATTTTTGTTGGTTGTGTGCTTTACAGTAATCCTTCTTCTTAATTGAAATTATTTCTAACACTAATATTTTTTGGCCCTAAAATTCATAGCCAATAAAGTTCGGCTTCATTCTCATATTCATAATAAAGCTTAAATTCATACAGAAAATGGTCCATATATAAAGTAAATTAAATATAGTTAGAAATGTCATAAGTCTGAAATTCACCTTTAAAAATAAAATAGCAATAAGTACTTATCTGATAAAATGAAAAATGACAAGAAAAAATAGATAATACAATATCAATGTGTAACTTTGAAATATCATACTTTCTATTGAAAATGTAGTTGACATTTATATAAAATTTCATAAAATTATATGCAATTTATACTGCTGCATCTGAATAAATATAAACAACTCAGGCAATTTAACAGAGGTATTATTTAATTATGCTCATGATTTTATATAAATATATTGGAAGGCTAATTGAATTTTTTAACGTTTTCAATAATGTGCATCATGAAGAAGACTTTGACCAAAAAACACAGTGTTAATGTTCTTAAAAGAATGTTTAAAGAAATAACATGTAATACAATTATCCAAAATATAGGTACTATTCATATATAATTACATTAATATACTTATTACATAAATAAGTACATTATTTAATACTCAGTTAACTATTACATTGAGTAAGGTATGGAAGTTCAAGATTTATTTTATACTGAAAAGAATGGCACTTAAAGAATCTAGCTCAGGAAAAGGGACAGGTGACAAAAATGGTGTATTACCACATAAATATTTGAAGTTTGTAATTTGGTTTTCAATCTTTAGTGTAATGAATCAGAAATATTGCTTAGAAAAAGGTTCCTAGATAATTTAGATTCTAGAGTATATTGACTAGAGATTAATATTACGTAAATGTAATGTATAATTGAAAAATTACCATAATATTACTTTATATAAAATGCTTTTTAAATTAAAAACAAAGTATACAGTTGAAGAAATATATATTGTCTATTATAATAAAAAACACTATGGCACTAAAAGCAAGATGTATAATATTAAGATAAACATAATATAACTTAATTATGTTTACAACATGCCAAAAAAAAAAAGCCCTCAAAATATTTGCTTATTGGTTTAATATAAAAGTCAGGAGCTTTCTCCCATATACAGAAATACTCAAGAACTTTTCTTCTTTTCTTCTCCAATGAGATGTCTTTTTTTTTCTTATAAAATTTCTTACTGAATTATTAAACTAACTCCAAGCTAAGCCAAAGAGAAAAGAGCAAAAAAGCTGTATTTTAATTGGAAATCAAATAGGAAAGGGTTTTAACATTTATAATTTAAATCATTGGATTTTAAATAGATACATAATAAAATAATACTTGAGCAATCATGTGGCATGCCTTTGAAAATATATCATGTTTTGTTACATATTTTGACATTAGATCAGCAAAATACACTAGAACTATAGCTTTTTACCATTACTCCAATTATGTATACATTTTATTCAGCAGATGAAAACAAAGAAAATGAAGGAGCTTTAAAATAGTTCAGCATCCTTACAGAGTAGATAGAAATTATAGGGAGACACACAGGGCCAAAATATGGCATATTTAAAATATAGTATATTAGTCATGTTTAAACTTTAAATAAACTTTCAAAATAAAATGGGCTTTCGGTGAACCTTTTATAAGGTAAAATGAAATTCTGTTAGGGGCATTTACTTGGTATATTACTATGTGTTTTTGAAAATAATTAACATTTTAATAGAAGCTCTGGAAATGTCACTCTTTTGCTTCTAAATTTAAAGCATCATAAATAATTTGGAGGTGCCCTAAAAAATCTGGAGTGGTTTAGATATGTATTAAGATGTTGTATAAAATTAAAAATCACCTAGAAGAACTGCATTACTTCAAAACTGGGCATGGGTCCCTATTTGAAGCCAAAAGAATACCTCAGTAATTAAATACATGTGGAAGTAGATTCCTATCAAAACAAGTGGCTGTATGTTTAGAAAACATTTAAAAAAAGATAAATTGTTACATTCCAGAGTCAGTTAAATGGAGAGTGAGTTTCCACAGAGTTACAGAACATGAGAATGTGTGGCCAAAGGGAGCTTAAGTTACAACATTCACGGGAGAGATAAGTATGTTTTACTTTTTTATTTTGGTTGAACTTACTGAGGTTATATTAGTTAATAAGATTCCACAGCTTTCAGGTGTGCAATTCTATAACATATCACCTGCATGTCGCATCGTGTGTTGACCCAAACTCAAGTCTCCTCCCATCACCATTCATCCTCTCCTTACCCTCTTCTATCCCCCCCCATCACCCTTTTCTCTGGCAATTGCCACACTGCTGTCTGTGTCTGTTTCTTGTTTTGTTTTGTATTTGCGCTTTAGAAGCCAATAAAGAGTCTCATCTGAAGAGAGATCATCTAAGGTACTTCCTGGTCTTTTCCCCTATCTCCGCCATCTACACTGGACCTATGATAGGATGAAAGAGATTAAAAACAAACAAATAAGATCACAGATGTTGGAGCTGTTAAAAGTCATACCCCATTTTAGCTTGTGGAGAAGGAACAAAGGCCAAGTTTCAATTCAGGCTGTGTCATTTAATAGCTACAACTTTGGGCGAGTTATGTAAGCTCTTGAATCTCTTTTCCCCTCTGAAAATAAGAGCAATAATAGATACACCAGATGTACCATGAATGAAAAGCCATTATAAATATTAATTCAAATGACAGCTTTTCTTCCTTTCACTATGTGTCAGGTTGTTCAAACCTCCCATGTTTGTGTTTACCTATATCTTAACTGGTACTCCGTGTCCCCCCCGGCAGAGAGAAGCCTTGATTCATCAGAGATGGCTCCCGAGCCCACAATGTTTCTTCCTTCAGCTGCCGAAATAAACCTTCATAATGCTGGGACATATCTTTGTCTCCTTGAGAAATTTTTCCCTGATGTCATTAAGGTCTATTGGAAGGAAAAGGACAGCAATGCAATTCTGGCATCCCAGCAGGGAAATACCATGAAGACTAATGACGCATACATGAAATTCAGCTGGCTGACCGTGACTGCGAAGTCAATGGACAAAGAACACAAATGCATCGTCAAACACGAGAATAATAGAAGAGGAGCTGATCAAGAGATTCTTTTTCCTTCAATAAATAAAGGTATGTGCATATAAATATAACCTCCCAGAACACTTCTCTTCCCAAAGGGAATGCCTTAAGTGTCTGTCAAGTATTAATAAAAAGGTATATGTATAAATTGTCCTTAAATGTTGCTACATTTAATAGTAGCATAAATGTCCTGCTATTTTCCCACAGAATTAAAAAAAGTATAGGCTTTGGAACATTAAAAGATGAAGAACTAAAGAATTTTACTCCTCTCAGCCTCAGTGTTATAATCTAGATATTAAAGTCACATGATGGTTTTAGGGTTGCTGTATGGTTTAAATGAAACAACATACATGAAAACACCTAGCAACGTAGCACACAATAAATGCTCAAAAAGAGATTCCACTTTTCATGATCTTATTTGACCAGAAAATAAGAACAATTACATATCTTTCAAGAATTTTATACTGATTAGGCAAAGTCACAATCATTTCCTTGTTGCTAAACTCAACGTATACTCAGTGAATTGCGAGGCTGTGGTGTCCTTCTGACGGAGTCGGGTCAAGGTTCCACAAAAACAGCATAATTCAGCCCTCCAGTTTTTTATGATCCTAGGTTTTTCAGATTTATATTTTATACACCACTGTAGGTAAATTTCATAAAGATTGGGTGAGACTGACATGTAGAAACAGATTTCTGTTTTGCATAATGAGCGTATATCTTGCCACTGGAAACATCCCTGTACTGCAGTAGTAGTGTGTTTCAGTCCTGGAAGGATGTGGGTGAGTACACCAGGATGAATTGGTGTCCCAAGAAGGATGCACCCAGTGAAGAGGATATCTTCTTCCCCTAAATATTCAGGGCCACTTGAGATTCAGGCATGATGTCCCAAAGGAGTGCTTTTCATTCAGATTTTGTACATTTTTAGATAGTGAGGGCAGAGCCCTGAATGTGCCCTAGTCCCAGCAGAGGTCTGGGAACTCCCTAGACGCAGACCTTAAAGTCTTGAGTATCAACATATCCGGCCAACGTCCCCAGAGTGCCCACAGGAAGGAGTCAGTTGGAACTGTACCTGGTGGTTAACAAGGCCTGTTAAGCAGTGGGGAGCAAGCCCATAACAAGACGTGCTAAGACCTTTGCCGTGTACCGGTCTGAATTTCAGAAGTACACTTCTTCTCAGTCCTGAGTTTCCCCAGTGACCAAATCAGGTTTGAACCCTGGCCTTGGCTTTCTCCTGGGGCTGTGATGAAGAGCAAATGAAATAACATCAGTGGCAAGGCTTGCTTTTGAAAATATAACATGGATGTATTTATTCATATGTGTGTATTTATTTATATTCTTTCCTAAAACTAAAATTAAGATTGCCAGAACAGCCCTAATTTTTTCCTATCTCTATGGCTAAGAAGCAAAGAGAAAGGAAATGTACAAAGCACGACTTTAATATAATCATTGAGCTTAAGTGTTCTATTATGTTTTCATTTTTCTAGTGATCAGGGATGACTATTGTACAGGAGAAACAGTCCAGTATAGACGTTGTACTTGACATTTAATTTCAGTAACACATGTGCCCTGCGGGTTTCTCACAACTAAGCTAATGGGGGCATTTGGTTACTGTCATTCTGTGGCAAGTTTCCAATGCTATTTCTTGTAAGTTTTTTATTTGCTATTTTTTTTTGTTTGTTTTTGATAAAAGCTAAAACATCGTAGCACAGATGAAAGGAGTGTTTTCAAAGAGAGATAAATCTAACCTAGTACAAGTTTCCCATCAAATTAGGAAGAAGAATTAGGACACACAAACTAATTTTATTATGAAAAGTTATTACTTTATGGTTTTTACCTCAACCATTACATGGTGATAAGAGATTTTTATTTATTTTTTAATGAATAAGGTCATTGTAAAGAAAATTAACAGACTTTTAAGGCACAGTAATATGAATCCTTGAGGATATTTTAACATCTCAACATAATTACACTAATATTTTCGATCTTGGGATTTACCCCAAAGCCTATACCTCACACCTTTATTTTTAGTGCACACCAGAAAAAGATCTCATGGAGCGCATAAAACTGCACTCCTTATGGTCAGGAACATCCTAGTAGAAGAAGGATAAACCAAAGCAACCATTGCACTGTTTTCCTGCATCTGATCATCAATGAACCTTAAGAAATTTTGTCTTTGTATGTGTATTTGCCTTTTTAAAACATTGTAGATAAATGCAGCTATAAACATGACTTGGTTTATCTTTTCTTTCTGGAAAGAATTGCACTAAAATGCGGAGCTCCTGTAACGTAAAGGTCATTTGGTAAGCATGATGAAGGTATCGGGAAGAGGCGATGTTCTCAGTGCCTACCATGGTGGAATGATGTTGTTTCTCTTTAGGAGATGTGACAGAAGCTGTGACAATGCAGCACCATGAGCCAATGGATGCAAAAGATAAAATTCTAGTCACTGAAAAAGGTAAGAAAAAAAGACTCTGTTCTGGAGCCTCCAGCCCAGTGAAACTGATTTCGGACTTCTGGCCTCCAGAACTATAATATATCAGAATAAATATGTGTCATGTTAAAAAAATAATATTCTACGGGTTATTTTTACAGAGTACCTTCCACATGTTCCCTTCCATTTACTCCCCCACAGCGATCCTTTGAATGCTGTCTCTGTTGCTCACTGGTATGACTCTCAGCAAGTTACTGGTACTCTCTGCACCTCACTTTCTCACCTGTAACATGGAGTCCAAAATACAACTCACTTCAGTGTTACTGGGAGATGAAATCAGATGACGCATCTGAAGCATTTAACATACACTATGCCACACAGTAATAATCACTCAATAGACATTAGTTTCTTTAATATGTTTTCATGTCCACAAAGACCACAACTCCAGGAAATCATGTACGTGAGCTGGAGTCATAGGGTTTATGAATGAATGGGAAAAGCATGGCTTAGATGGGAAATTTGTCTACACCCAATTCCTTCAAACCTGTATGATTCTGTAATGGATTCTATGATTAAACAAATTTATTTTGGTAGCAACTGCTCATGTCAGCAGTGTGTGCTGAAGACTGCAGAGCAGCTCCTTTTTCTGTTTATTTTTTCCCATCAACAAGTGTCATGAGTATTGAAGAAGTATTTTGCCGTGGGCACTGTGCTAGGAGCGATGAATGCAGGAGGAAAACAGGGAGTCTTGGGTAGGACCCTCCAGTTATGATTAAAAAGAAAAAAATGTATCCTTCATGAACAGCATGTCTATGTGCAGAAACACAATATGTGAATTAGGTATACTGAATTACATAGAGTCTGAGCATATCTTCCTGGAATTGTTGGGCTCTTATTTTTAATACTTCTCTCCTCTGTGGGCAGATTCTATCTATCTATCTATCTATCTATCTATCTATCTATCTATCTATCTATCTATCTACCTATCCACTCACACAGACACACACTGTCAAATAATGATTATGAACAACTCATTAATAATTGCTCTCATTTCTTGCAGAGGTTGCTGGTATTCACCCTACAATAGAAGATTGTCTGAAAGACAAGAGTGGTAAGATTTTGCACCTATTTGTCTTTATGACATGCTATAGTATTTCTCCGTCCTGAGCAGCATAAGTTTTGAACTTCTCTAGCTTAAAATAGAAAAGTCAGAAATGCTGAATTGTGCAGAATAGACTGAGTGCTATTGAAGTCAATCCACCCTTTTGTAGTAGTCATCTTAATATAGCAAATGCTAGTTTTTCATATGAGGTGACTGTGAGTTAAATGATGCCATGATATGCTCAGGGTTATTTAAACACAAGGTTAATTCAACATTTATTCATTTGTATGGCTTTTGTTCCTAATGACTAGGGAATATGTGATATCGTTACTTTTAGATTTTTTTTGTCTTTGGTTTTTGCTAGTAGTTAATAACCTGAACTCACTTGTTTAATCCTCATAATACTTATGTGAAGTGTACAATATTTTTTTCCCATTTGACAGATGAGAGCAGTGAGCTAAAAGGAAGTCCCTTACACCATGCCAAACAGCTAGATCTGGAGTTTTAACCCAGGCCATCGGAATTAAGGTTTCATACACTTACTCAGTTCTTTATTCTTCCTCTGAGAGTCAAGTCATAGAGCAAGAAAGCTCAAAGCCAAGACTCTACACACACTGGATACGTGGCTGGTGCAGGGGTTGGGGGCAGTTTCTGGCTTCCCAGTACCACAAATGGGACTTCCACTCCAGTTCTTTTAATTATTAGTGACATGAATATGGGTATTTACATTTTCTGAGAAAACTTTCCTCACCTGCCAACCAGGAATAATTAGACCCAACCCAGTTATTGAGGAGATAAGATCACATATATGGAATGTCCAGCATAGGGTATCTCATGTAGTTGGCAAAGAATATGTACAAGTTTCTGGACCTTTCTCTCTACATATATACAAAGAAAGTACCTAGGAGAACTGGCTCTGGTCCTTCTGAGTTCTCCTCCATTCCCAGTATCAAGGGGGCTCTGGACCTCAGCTAACACCTTGCCTGACGAACCCAAAGGATTTCTGAGCACATTGGCTCTTGAGGGTCTTTTCCACACGAAGTGCTAATCATTCTGGAGTTCCGACACTATGGAGATAAAACATGTCAGAAGGAAATTTCCACAGGAAAAGGCTTGGCCTTGTGGTTTACTGAGCAGCAGTCTGGCCCACCATCACTACTTTCAATTGTTCCTTGATATCATTTGTTTCTTGTAAAACTTAAAGGACATCAAGTGCAATTATCTTATTGTATCAGAGCCACAATGAGGGACATTCAGGAAAGACAGGAGAGAGAGCTGTAACCTCTTAAAGTTTCAGAGAATTTGGATTAACCACTTTCTTCCAGTTAACATAAAACCCTCTGCTAAAATCCCCAGCCACCAGTTGTGAACACTGCCATATTTTCAAGGATTGTACTCGTAGTAGGAATCATACTGCATGCACACGCAATGACTCAGATGCTTCTACATCAGCAGGTCACCTTTATATTTACACTTAACCCTTTGATATCAGGGTATTATTTATTGCACTTTTCAGAGATACAGAATTACAGAGTGACTAAAAATTTATTCTGTGAAGTCATGTTGCTAGGATTGAAATCTGGTTTCTGGTGCTTACTAAATGCATGACATCGGGCAAATTTCTTCTCTTTCTGCCCTCATTTTACTTGTTAAATGGGAACTAAAATAATAATCTCATAGGTTACTATAAAAATTACATAAGATTAAAGGTTTGCAAACAAAGCTCCCAGAGTATTTGGGATTTGGTTAATGGTTAATGAAGAACATTAACTTTTATTTTTAATTAGAGACATTGTGGGTGTGAAGAAATGATACAAGTTATTTACCACAAGTTTGTTCTTATCATTGGACTCTCTCATTAAAAAAAATAATCTTAGATTTTAATATTTGGAGTGTTCTAAGTGACTTGACCTGCAAGCTCCATCCTAAGTTGTTTTGGTTGTGGTGGTGGTAGATGTTTGTTTATCTTGGGGTTGGTGGTGTGGAGGTGTCACTTCGATGTAGATCATAAATGTAAATAATTATGACCCCCTCCCATTAATAGTTCCTATCCTTTCAAAAGAACTGATGAAACTAATTATATGACTTCTCCTATATTTACTGAAGTTGCAGCTCACAAATACCTCCGCCTACTACACCTACCTCCTCCTCCTTCTCAAGAGCCTGGTCTACTTTGCCATCATTCCCTTCTGTCTGTTTAGGAGAACAGCCGTCCGTGGCCATGGCAAGAGTTCATAACAGATGACGGCACAAAAGGATCAACAATTGTTCTTCATTTATTTTCCCTGGACATGTCCACTGAGGATCTAGTCAGACTTTGTTGCTTTGGATTATTTCAGTTCACATGCATTTTTCTATTATGTCATTATTGCATAATGGTTTTCACACCCCTGGGCAAAAGAAAACTTCTCTCTGTAGCAATAACAGAGTCTGCCATTACTCAGGCACAGGGCCCAAGGGTGCCCTTTGTCACCACTCTTCCCATAACCCTAATCAGCTCCTCTCGCCAACCCACATCACCACGCCTTCTGCGTACAGACAGCATGCAGCTCCTAGTCATGTTCCTCAGTGCTCCTCATCCAGACAACCGCCCCAGAGCTTCCATGTCGCACACCCAGAAGCTGCCATCTTGGCTCCTTGTGTTCTGTGTTTTGTTTTTCATAATAAGCACAATAAATTTTTTTTAATAAAAAAATCTACTTTTGTCCATGTAGTTTAATCTGATACATCTATTTGAGGTCCCAGCTAAGGAGGAACATGGCAAATGAGCTCTCAAATACTGCACTGTCGTCATGGCCAACGCTACCTTTGTGTTTCTTTCCCTGAGACTCTAGTTGCAATCCTTTCTTTGGGGCACAGATTCCAAGGGGGCCAGAGCCCAGTGAAGGTGCCCAGCTTACTTCTCTTTCAAAAGTCACCATTCACATACTCTTTTGGTTTGGGATAGTCCAATGGTGACAGCATAATATCTGCCATGATTGGCACTGTGTGCTCAGATCTATGCCAGCGTTTCACATGCATCTGGTTTCCTGATTCTCACAATGACCCACGAGAACTGCTCTGACACTGGAGAGGCAGGGTGGTGAGGGCTGAGCCCCTCTCCTCTGACCCGAAGTGCTGGATTCGTATCCTGGGTCTAGTGTTGGTATCTGGGTGACCTCAGAGAACCTATTTGAACTCTATGTGCCTTAATTTTCTCATGTGTAAAATGAAGTTACAGTGCCTGGTTTCCTGGAGTTGTGTGAATTAGATGAGTTAATAATGTCTGGTGCATGCAAGTCCTCAGCAACTACTGTTAGTTGCTTTACTTTAGAAATAATAGATCATAAACACACACACACACACACCCCCCTTGACAATCATCTCTAGTCATATTTCCCTGCAGCAGGTTTGATGTGGATGGAATAGGGGACTCAGTGAGTTTCTGCTACGCGCCGGGCAATCTGATTCATCCTGTCAGGGCCCTTGTGGGTAGGTGCGGTCCACAGTTTACAAATGTAAATTATAATGTTACCTGGTCATGGTCACCGTTTTGTAAGTAATAGTCATTTGAAGCCAGGTCTCTCTAAACTCAGAACCTGTATTTTGTTACCAGTATCATGTGGTTTCCCCTTCCACTACTTTTCAGCAGGGAAGAAAAAATCATGCTGCGCCTCTTCTCCAAAGTTAGTGAGAACTTTCTGAAGGACTTATGGGTGCATCTCTGTTTTCTCCTCAACTGCATACTCTGGAACAACCATAATCGCTCCCTTTATTATCAGTGGTTTTAAAATCCTGCCTTATTTTATGTGTGCCCTAGATTTGCAACTCCTCCTTGGGGTATTAATGAAATGAACTGAGACTCTCAGGCAATGCAAGGCCTTTGATGGTGCCGCTTCGTGCACCACTCTGATATTCCAGCTCCTCCCTTATTGCACTGCACTGCGCGGCAGCGGCTTTAGGGGTGCGCCGCCGCGTGGGAGCAACCAGAGAACGCAGCGCTCCCTGAAACCTGAGGGAAGCAGCTGCCGCCAGCTGAGGTGGGAGCAGGGCTCTGAAACCTGCAGAGCCCGTCCAGGGCTTGTCACAGATGAGAGGGAATAAACGCAAAATGTTGCAAACACTTCTCTGTGTGCCGGGAGAGCAGACGGGGCACTTCCCTCCTACTGGGGAAGGCCCCATCGCCCTTTGTTCCAAGGCTTTTATTGAAAAGTTTGTCAGTGGGCTAGGCAACAGGAATGCATACGTACACTCATTACAGTAGCATGTTAAGTTTCACAGAGAATAGATACCTTTAAGAAAACAAGTGACAGGAACTTACTGATTTACATGGGTCCAAGAGGAGACTAGTCTAAACAAAAGAGAATGAAGACAAGGGCAAGTGCCTTAATGATAAAGGGTAAGGGGTGTAGATAATGTGAAGGTCCTTTACAGCATGAGCTGACCAGAGATCTGAGGGAGGAACAGAACACACTCTAAAGAGTTTACTTTTAGGCCCGATTACCCCGGGACCCGCCAGATATGATTTAGGGCTGTTTTCCCTGCACCACTTCAAGCCTGAGCCAGGCGCCGGGAGGGGAACACCAAGGGATGAGATTGCTTCTCAGCTGCAAAGAGGACTCTGGCCATGTCCAAGCCAAGCCGAGAGGTGCATTGGGCTTTTTGCCCTCTCTCTATGTCCCCCAATTTCTTATTTGCTGCCTATATCAGTTGATGGCCTGTCTTAGATTGCCCCTCCCCCAAGGGGTCTTACCTGTCCTTGGCAGGGACCATGACAAGGCAAAGCAGAGAGGCAAGGGCTACACCCTTGCCCAGGGGAGCAGTTCAAGTCACCTCAGGAGCCTGTTTCTCCAAGGCCTCCTGGTTATTTCCAGCCTTGGGGCCCTGCAGCTTGTTGACAGGGTTATGGCTCCTGAAACTAGGCTGGGTGTTTCCCAACACTCCCTTAGACTGAACGGGTCCAGACTTCCTGAGAATCACCTTGTGGGAGTGTCTGGTATGTCCATGGGCATTTCTGAGGAAGGAGGTAGCTGTACTTCCTTTTGAGTCCAGTACTTTTCCATCACAGCAGCACTGCCACGTGGTGGTGAGGTGGGAGGGACACTATATCAGAACTTTTGCCTCACGCTCCATACTTAGAGCCTCTGTTACTTGGTCTGGCTCCAACTAGCAGTGTCATTTGCTCTTGACCATGTCGTATTTCCTACATTTACTCATCTTTAGAAGAAGATGTTGAAATTCTCAATAATTTCAGATTTCTAGCACAATTTACAAATTCAATAATTAACATCCTGATGAAGTAAAAACAGCAAATGCTTACATACTGCTTACTGGTACTGGTTTAAGCAAGTGTTAACTTGTTTCTCTCAAGAACCCTATATGCCCTGGCTGGTGTGGCTCTCTGGATTGAGTGCCGACTTGTGGACCACCCGACCTATGGACCAAAGGGTCGTTGTTTCAAATCTCAGTCAGGGCACATGCCTGGGTTGTGGGCCAGGACACCAGTATGGGGTGCTTGAGAGGCAACCGCACATTGATGTTTCTCTCCCTCTCTTTCTCCCTCCTTCCCTTCTCTCTAAAAATAAACAATAAAATCTTTAAGAAAAAGAACCCCATGAAACGAGTACAATAATGTCTGTTCTACATTTGGGGAAACTGAGGCAAAGAGGGGCTAAAGTATATCCCTTAGTAAGACAGCTAATAGCAAGTAGAAATGGGATTTGAACCCAAATAATCTGGCTACAGGAGCTCTGCTCATAACTTCTACATTACTTGCTACTGGAGTAGAAACAGGTTCCTTTAGGTTTGAATTAAGATGGGAAAATTTCCTTCTTATTAGGCTAAGAGCAGACGAAGAGGACTGACTATTCACCTGCTCACACTTCCTCTCCTTACTCCTATCCTGTTCAAACAATTAGAGGGTTATAACAAACCTACACACAATTTTTTTGTGTAGGGAAGGTTTTTAAATGTTGACTTCCCACCCACTAATCAGGTATCTGTCATTAAAGTACATGCCACTTGGTTGGAGAAAAAAAATACCAGAACAGCAGGCTGCATCCACAGGTGCTCAATGGAACCACTGGGCAGAGATTTATACAATTCTACATAAAGCACTCATGTCTCTAGTCTTTATAGGGCTAGTGTACTCCATACACTTCTCAACCACAGAAAAATGGAAACTTCAAGGAAACAATTTTCAAATTTTTTTTCAATTAAGAATTCTCCCCACTGTTTCAGGATTTTTTTCTTCATATACTCATAGTTTTTTTTTTTAAAGTTTTCTGTCAATCGAGCAGGCTACAATTAAGTAATGCTCAATTTTCCCTTTATACTAATCGAAGTCCTATATAATTGCCAATTAGGAATTCTGAATAATAAGAAAGCCAGAGATACTATATCAACATGATAGAATTCAGCCAAAAAGCTAGAAATCCAACACTTCGAGAGCATGAAAACTCACCGGGTAAATGTATGATCTCTGTCAGGCTCTCTTAGGCTATTTTTGTTTGCTTTCTTTTGTTTTGTTTGAGTAACAGCAAGTACCTGCAACATAGTGAGCAGCAGGAATTCCACCCAGCAGTCTGCATGCTCTGTGTCTAATGCTCTCACTGTACCACAGTATGGGGATCACGCTCCTTTCACTGAGGGGACGACCAGGGAGGCAAGAGATATGCCCGAGGCCAATCACGGAGTTGTGCCAGAGTCCACATGATTCCAGGGCCATTTGACTTAAATTCTGCTGTTTTACCCATTGCATCAATGGCTCTCTTCTTGGAGCCTTTGAAAATCACTGAGGCCCAGACTTCCTCACAAAGTCAGGCATCGGACTTTAAACAGCCTCCTGCGCTAATTCTACGTTGTGGCTGGGCTTGAGGCCAGCAAGTGACTGGAATAGCTCCTGAGCTTGGGGGGCCGCTGCCTCTGCTCTCAGGCAGCGAGGAGCCATCGCAGAGCCCATCCCACGGGAGAAGGTACCACAACCTGGTTCATACCATCAGCCCACCAATTTCCTAAGGAAACAGAAGGCGTGGACTAAGGTTCATGTGTGAGGATGTTCATTGACTGTAGCACATTTAGAGCAGCCACAAATTAACCCAAATGCCCAATAAGAAACTAAAAGAATAAAAAAAGAATGTCATATGACAGATTACTATGCATCTTCAAAAAATGTAGATTACTTTAAGAAGTGAAGTATCAATCAGGAAGTGTTGTAGAAAAAATACTATGCATAGCAGAACTGTACTAAAATTGTTAGA